AAGACACAAATATGAGCAAAGGAAAGCAACAGGTTTTAATGCAGCCATGTGCTTCCTGGATTGTCCACAGTCCCTAGGTAACTTTGGCAAAGACACAACATGTGCTTGGACCTATAGCAGTCTTCATTTTTATTTGATCTCTATGTTCCACCAGTAGATATTTAAGTTATTTTTAAAGTTTCTTTTTATCCAACTAACACCTGTATATGGCAACAAATAAAATAGAAGAGCTTGATTGTCAAGGAAATTAACAACCACAATGTGTTCCATGAGCAAATCAAGCTTTTGGGGTTGGGCACAGGGTCACTCCAGCTGGGATGCTAACATTTTTGTACCATTTTTTGCTGAACCTGGAATTTCTAACTACCTGTTTTCAACATAAAGAGTTTAGGAGAAGAAACTAGGGAGCTGGACTGCTAGAATTCAATTCCCCGCTCTGGGATTTATTCATTCTGTGACACTGAGCAAGTTTCTAAGCCTCCTTGGAGTTCTAAAATTTCACAAAGATGGCATTAGGCATGTATCCACTCATGTGCTGCTTCTACTCTAGAAAAGTCACTTCTATTATTTCTTGGATAAACTCCTCCCTTCTGTTTCATTCTGTCCTTCCTGAGATTTTTCTAGTAGTTGAATATTGGATTTCCCATATGGAACTTTTATGTATATAACTTTTTTTCCTGCAATTTCTTCTTTGATTTTTGCCTCTAGATTCTGGGTTATTTCCTTGACTTTATTTTTCAGTCAGCCTGTCTATCTATCTATATTTACTTAGTTTAGTAGTTATACATTTAGTTACTGAGAACATTTTTCCTTCTAGTTTTTCCTTTTTAATTATTTTAATTGCAGTTTTATTTTGAGGTAATTGACAACATGCAGTTGTAAGGAATAATATGGAGTGATCCCATGTACCACTTACCAGTTTTCTTCAATAGTAATATAATTCAAAACCCTACTACAATGTCACAGTCAGGATACTGACATTGATACAGTTAAGTTATAGAACATTTTCATCACCAAAATGGTCCTTCCTGTGGCCCTGTTATGGCCACATCAACTACCTTCTACCCTACCCTGTACTTAACTCCTGCCAACAACTAATCTATTCTACATTTCTATAAATTTCTTATTTCAAGAACGTATATAAATGGAATCATGCAGCATGTAACCTTCTGGGATTGACTTTTTCACTCCACATAATTCTCTGAAGATTCATCAAGGCTGTCATGTGTATCAACAGTTCATTTCTTTTGTTAGTGAATAGCCTTCCATGGTAGGGATGTACCGCAGTTTGCTTAATCATTTATTGTTGAAGGACAGCTGGTTTGTTTCTACTTTGTGGCTACTAAAAATAAAGCTTCCATAAACATTTGCGTACAGGTTTTTGGGTGAATATAAATTTTCATTTCTTTAGAATAAATGCCCACTAGTGTAAATGCTGGGTTTTATGGTACTTGCAGGTTTGGTTTCTAAAGACACTTTCAAACTGTTCTCCGGAGTGATGGTGCCATTTTACAGCCGCAAGAAGAATGTATGAGTTATTTAGTTTCCTCACTACCTCATCAATATTTAATGTTGTCACTATTTTTTATGTTAGCCATTCTTATAGGTGAGTGATGATTTCATGGTTTTAATTTGCAGTTTTCTAATGGCTAATAACGTTGAGCATCCTTTCATGTGCTTATTTGTCATGTATATATTCCCATTTACACATAAATTTCAGAATAATCTTGAATATATATACAAGAAATCTCACTGAGATTTTGCTAGGAATTGCATTAAATCTAAAGATTAATTTGGGGACAAGTCACATCTTTACTATGTTGAGTCTTCCAGTCCCTGAACACAGTTATGTCTTCCCACTTATTTGGATTTTCTTAGATTTCTTTTATCAGCATTTTGTAATTTTCAGTATTTAATTTGTTGAGTAATTATAAATAGTACTGTATATTTAATTGTGATATCCACAAGTTCATGGCTAAAATTGATTTTGGTATATTTATCTTGTATCCTGTGACCTTGCTAAAATTATATATTAATTCTAGGGTTTTTAAAAATAGATTCCTTGGAATCTACATAGACAATCGTGTCATCTGCAGTAGGGACAATTCTATTTCTTTCTTTCTAATCTGTATAGCTTTTATTTCTTTTTCTTGCCTTATTGCACTGGCTGGAACTCCCAGCACTATGTTAAATAAGAAAAGCGAAAGCAGACATTCTTGCCTCGTTCTCAATCTTAGGGGGCATTCAGTTTTTCAACAGTAAGTATGATGCTAGTTGTAGGTGTTTTTGTAGATGCTCTTCATCAAGGTAATGGTATGCTGGACATTTTATTTAAAGAACTATAGAGACTGAAGCAGTAATATTTACTCACAGACACACACCCTGAAAAGGACATCATCATTTGTGCCAGGCTGTCACTGCAGGGCCTGGAGACAATCTAATCTGTTGCTGAGCTGGACCTGGCTTTGTTGCATCTTGAGTTGCATTCAATTTGCTAATAGCTGAAAATGTTTTGAGAGAGAGATCAGGAGTTTCTCTGAAACAAGGATATGAACAGGAGAGTCTGGGGTCTCTGTACTGTATAGTCAAGTCTTCAGTTTCCTAAACCACGGGAGCATTCTTACTTTACAGCCTATTGATTGCTGAGGATTCTCTATGTTCTGAAGTTCTGTCCTGGCTTTCTGCCCTTCAAAAGGTGGCTTTTTCCCCTACCCCCTACTCCAGTGCAGTCTGTGAAGTTCCAGCTTGTCTTCAAAGCTTTTCTCTCATTGCTTCTGCAGCATCCCCAGCTTCATTGCACACTCAGTGAAGGCGCTGAGAGATTTCACTCAAGTTTCTTGCGTCACCCCCAGCCAGAGATGACAGCAGCCATGTTCTCCTCTCCCCTCGGAAGGACTTATCACTTTCTGGAATTTACATCATTTAGTCTCTTTGCATCTTTAGCATTCTGATAGGTTTTTTAAAGCTACGATTTTGTAGATCGTGTTTGTTTTGTTTGTTCTCTGTTGTGTAGAGAGCAATGGTCTCTTGCAACCTTATACTTCCTAACTGGATTCAGAAATTCCCTGAAGCAAACTTTGACCAATGAGCACAGGAGACAGCATGGAACAACAGATAAATCTCTCCCTTCCTCCTTCCTTTCCAAAGCACAATGGTTCCATAGGATCTATCTATAAATTGCTCTACCTGAATAAGAACTGGCTTGTTTTCCTTTTGAACCTGTTACTAGCTTAGTAAAGCACCATGCATTTGCCTTTCTCTCCTTCACTGCCTCACCTCACTTCCTCCCTCAGTCTTCCTGCCCGAGATTGCACCTCCCAATAAAGCTTTAGCATGCAAACTTCCTAGCCTGCTAAGGCAGATTTTTCTTAAGATTAATTTGAATTGTTCTTAGCTTTTAGTAAAAAGAGCAACCAAAAGGCATTAGTATCAGACCAGGAAAGATTTTTTTTGTTTCAGACTAACTAGTGAATCACACTCAATTTATATAACAAATGACATTTCACAAACCAACTGAAAACTTCTATTTAAAGTGGTCTTTAAAATGCCAGAACCTGAGGGAATGGGAAATTATGGTTTAATGGGTATGTAGTTTCAGTTTGGGAAGATGAAAAAGTTTTGGAGATAGATGGTGGTGATGGTTGCATAACAATGTGAATGCACTTACTGCCACTGAACTGCACACTTAAAAATGGTTAAAATCATAAGTTTTATGCTATGTGTATTTTGAACAATTTTTTTAAAAATGCCAAACTGAGTCAATGAGAGAGGGTCTCCAATAGAATAAGGGTAGAGTTAACACCCAGCACAACTGGGCATCTGTTATACCACAAACAAGCAACTATCCAATGACCAGAGCAATGAGCTTACAAAGATCCCGAAGCTTAACACCTTTATTGTTCGTTATGGCTGTATCTCTCCTTCCAAAAGGGGCTCAGTCAACAAGTGTTGAATCACAGTTTAGGTTGTCTGCCATATAAATGGTCCATGCTAGCGTCTGTCCTTGACAACCCCCTCCACATTCACTCTACACGTTCTGGGGGACTCAAAACTAGCCCAGGAGGCTTCTCGCCCTGTGAGACCCAGCTCAAACCTCCCTCTCTGAGAGCCCTCCCTGACTTTCCCTCCAGTCTGCAATCTCAAATAAGAACTTGAGGTCTCAGTCACTGAATTAGGTGAATTAGCTGTCTCCAGAAATCATAGCAACTTCATGGAATGACATTAATCCCCCTTTACAAACAAAGAGATAAACTAAACAGAAAGTTACTAATTTAATAGTTAGAGGTCAACCAAAGAACAAAGCAAGCTGGATTATCTAAGCATGCTTGGATATAAGAATAAAAACTTAAAGTGTATCTGGTGTGTGTACATACGATCTTCACAATCCTTTTGTGTTCCATAGGTGGTGAGGCCTCTAAAATGCGAGAAGGACTCTAACACAGCTCCTTCCAAAGACAGTCACATCCAAAGCCCTAGTGTGCTCACCAGAGGTTAGTCTCTCCTGACATTTTCTGTGATTCATCTTGCAATTTCTCCAAAGGACAACAGTCCCCCTCCTCTATGCCCAAAAAAAGAAATCCTTAATCTTTCTTCTTACTCTTAGGTTAGAGTTTCTACTTCTTAGCTCACCCATTCATCACTTCACCACCTCCCCTTGTTAAGGAGAGAATAAGCTGAGACTGGCTTCTGATTCAAGTCCATTTCTAGACACAAGCCACATCTGAACGGTGCAGTGTGGGCACCTTAACTCTGAGACATTAGTAATGACTGTCCTTAGGCCATGGGCTTAGAATGTCAGGGGCAGTTCTGCAGGGAGTGGGAAGTGAAGTCTTCATAGAGGAACTGAGTAGCTCTAGAATTGCTCCAGTCAAAGCTGAAGATGGGTTTCTAGTCACGAGATGATCAGGACTCTCTTTAATTTACTTTCAATTTGGCACACACTAACCAGGCTCACCACAGTGTCAGTGGCCCCTCCCCTCCATGCATCAGCATCCCCTTACCTCCCAGGCAGGCGCCGAGGGCCAGAGCATACATGAGTGGTGGCGCAGGCAGGCTGACCTCGGGGTCTTGGCTGAGGTTCAGGAGCACGGGAATCTGGAGGAAAAGGACATTAACATTACATTCATGGTAGCCCAGAGGAGCTGCCCAAACTGCGACTGACTTGCAAAATCCAAAGCTCTTTTTCAGCAAACTGTAAGGGGCATTAGATGTTCAAAACGAAACCAAAGTTAAATTTGGAATCCACAAAACCTTGAGTTTGAGCCCATTGGTATGTCTTTGTTTCCAGCCATATGACCAGCTAAATGGGTCCCTTCTCCTCAGCTACCCCCCACCCTCACCTCGATGCTTTGAATCTTGAATGGAATAAAGTCGTGTGGAGCCTCACACAATGGCTGGAACCATAATCATCTAACCAGCGTCATCAGTTCTGCAGTGGATCAAGTCCCACACTGACTCCATGCACATATCATCTTATTTAATCCTCAAGCATCCCTCAGGTGTATTTGATATTCCTCCAGTTGATAGATGAGGAAATCAAGGCATGGAGAGGTACAGATCTCGTAAGTGGCCCAGACAGAACTTGAACATAGTTCTCTGATTGCAGACTATACACTGTAAACCTGCGCTAAAATGCTTCTCACCGCTGCCCTCTGAGCAGTCTTCCCAACCCTGCTCATGTTCCTAATATGATAACAGGTATCAGATTTATTAACTAGGCAGTAGATTCTCTAGTAAGTCATGCCAGCATCCAGTGTACCTTTCTGATGGACATAAATTTCACCTTATTGTAATCAGTTAAGCATGTAGTGTTTGTGAAGTTTCTGTAAGACATCTGTGTTCCGAAAACATGCCCCCTTGTGGCTCATGCTGCTAATGAAGGACAGAGAAAGACGTAGCCATTGGGCCTGCTTCCAGCACACTAGGTGGGGAGGTCGGTCCATGTAGTCACTGCTACGCACCTCAGGGCAGCCCATGAGACATTAAGGAAGGACCCCTGCCTTGGGGAAGTTGCCTTGTGTGGACCTCTCTAAAGAACAGGAGGAGAACCCATCCAATGGCAACCATCTGGAAAGGTTTACTCAAAATCATAAGCAGAAAGCTGAAACCAATGTGGAGATATGTAAGTGACATGTGATTTCATTTGCTGTAGAGAATTAGAGAACAACAGAGTCACGATCTGTTGGACACCAGGTCTCTTGAGGTCATGAAAGTAATAACTCATTGTATATTTGGGAAGACTGGATATTCCCCAGCTCTTTATCCCTGCAATAAGACTTCACGTGCATGCCCTCTGCAGTGGCCCCCCCAGCAGGGCAGATGAATCTACTTCCCTATTCCACTGACTCTGGGCTTGGCCAGTGGATTGCTTTTACCAGAGGAAGGTGGGTGGCCTAGAAAGAAGCATTCCATGTTACTGCAAGCCTCTCTGAATCTTCAGGTTCAGTTGTAAGAAGAATAAGCTGCAGGAGATGCTGCTGCCCCATGGAGTCCCAGAAGATGGATGCATGGAGGGGAGCCCCATCAGCCCCAGTGGAGCCCTGCCCAGCAGGCTGCAGCAAACCTGCTGACTCATGAGCCTACCACACAAGCTCCTCTGCCAGTCCTGCATACAGTTCTCCAGAATTGTCTTATAGGGTCTGAGAAAGAGCCCCTATTATTTGCTGGGTCACAAGGAGCATTTTGAAAAGCTCACTTTTTCATTCTAAGTAGCCCCAAATATTTACCGGAAGAGAAATAAGTAACATCCCAGGATATCCATCTGATGCAAAAACAGACACTCCTGGCAGAGGGGGCCTCTGAGTAGTCCCCATGGCTGGCATGTTTCAATCTTTGCTCTTGTTGTCTCATGATGAACCCAACTGTTGTCACAGAGTCCATGTTAAACTTGAAGTCTTGCTTCTTTGGAGGAGCAGGTGAAGTGCAGCTTCTCACAGCACCCAGTCGGTCATCAATGAGCAGAGCAAACCTACACTGTATAGTCCCCAGGCACCCTCATACACTGGGCAACATGCTGTCAGTACAAGGCCAGCCTCTGCCCTAAAGGTCCTGCATGCCGCCTGGCTTGAAGAAACAGACTCAGAACAACTAGGCACAGGATGCTGGGCCCTTATCAGAGGCACTGAGGCATAAAAGGAGGAAGGAATGCCTTTGACTCAGTGCTATTTTTGATTTTTATCAAGATAAGTACACATGTTCTAAACCATATAGTTACAAGTGCCAGATTCTGTTATAGGCTCATGGCAGCAAAAAGTATGCTGTGAAATTGTTTTGAAATCAAGCTCTCTGCTGGAATTTGCAGTTCAGATGAAAGCCCATGCCCTAAACTCTGCCCCAAATTCAAGGATCTACCTGAGGCTCCCACGGCCTGCCCTCCTTCCTTCTGGGACCAGGTCCCTGCCTTGGGCAGGCTCCCTCTCCTCCTCCTACATGAATGCAGTGAGGCCTCACTGGCCTCACACTCACCACCTGCCCCCTCTAGCTCCATCCTCTATACAACCAGCAGTGACCTTTCTATCTTTCAGATCTGACCATGTCACTAGCTCCTCAACCCCATGCCCTCACTCTGAGCAAGGCCCCCTTCTCAAGGCTCTCCTCTCCTTGCACACTCAATCACTTCCATCTTCACAGGTCTGGACCCCAGTGCTGCCTCCCACTCAAGTGCCTTTGCTGGTTCCTATGCCTTAGCCTAGGTGCACTTGATCTTGCCCTCATGTCAATCTCCCACTCAGCCTGTAAGAGGCTTGGGGATCACTCCTCTGAAACCTTTCCTGACCTTCCCAAAGTAGTTGATGTTTTATAATACTTATGCCCAGATATCACATTTAACATAAGGCTCCATCTTCCACTAGGGTGGATGACACTGTCTTGTGTGTGTTCATTTATGTCTTCATGCACTCACTAATTATTCATGAATGCCTACTGCTCTAGTACCCGTCTGTTAATGCTCTAGACACAGGGGATATAGCAGTTAATACAAGAGACAAAACTCTCTGCCCTCAGAGAGCTTACATTATAGTAAGAAGAGAGAGAAAATTTTTAAAAAGTAATGAATAAGAATGTCATAGAAGATGGCAAAGTAGAAAGCTCCAGGAATCCAGCCCTCCACCTAAACAATTATTGAATAGTCAGGAACTGTCTAAAGTAACTGTGTAAGTTTCCTAGGGCTGCCATAACAAAGTACCAAAAACTGGATGGCTTGAAAGAACAGAACTACGTTGTCTCACAGTTTTGAAGAGTAGAAGTCCAAAATCGAGGTGCTGGTAGGGCCATGATCTCCCTGATGGCTCTAGGGGAGGATCCTTCCTTGCCTCTTCTAGTTTCTGGTGGTTACCAGAAATCCTTGGTGTCCCTTGTTTTGTAGATACCTCACTCTGGTCACATGGCCATCTTCTCCTTGTGTGTCTTCACATTGTCTTCCTTCTTCACATGTCTGCCTCTGTGTCCAAATTCCCCATTTTTACAAGGATACCAGTCAGATTGGATTAGGGCCCACCCTAATGAACTAATTTTAATGTAATGATCTCTGTAAAGATCCTACTTCCAAATAAGGTCACATTTGGAGGAACTTGGGGTTAGGACTTCAACATATCTTTTGGGAAGACATAATTCAATCCATAATAGTAACTATTTTGGAAGTCTGGAGCATGGTTGAACACTTTCAGGAGTCAGGGAAGAGATGAATTTTGGCCTTTCTTGCGGTGTTTACCATTCTCCAGACCCCCAGCCCTGTGGCAGACAGCCATGGGGGTAGTAGTCCACCTTTATGTGCAACTTGCTGCTAGCAAGATAGGTAATAAGGACCTAGTCCTTCAAAAATTAGGTTGTTTTTGTTGGCTACTGAGCACTGCTTTTGACCACTGAAGGGCCAGCACATAGGCTGGCCATTGCTCCAACCCCCAAGGGATAAAGCAGCTTCCAGGGGATTTAAAGAAACCACTTGTTTTTCCCACCTTTCGAGTCAGACACTTTAAAAATCTTTTACAGGATACTGGTTGGCTATATAAATAATGGAAGAGAAACATCAATTCAACAACATCAACATCAGAAGACCACACACAACAAGGAATGCATACTTTGAAAAAAAAATAAAGCTTGAAAAAGTCACAAATGGATAGCTCCGGCCTTTGACAAGCAAGATTTAACAATCCCTGAGAGCAGGAGAATTAGATCTCCAGACTTACCAAATCATAATACTCAAAATGCTCAGTTCTCCAAAAAAAACTATACAACATACAAAGAAATAGGAAAGTATGGCCCATTGACAGGGGGGATAAAAGGGAATTTTACAGAAACTGTCTTTGAAGCCCAGACATCAGAACTATTAGTCAAAGATGCTAAACCAACTGTCTTACATATATCTAATTAGCAAAAGAAAACTATAGACAAAGAACAAAATAAGGAAAATGATATATAAAGAAAATGAGAATATTGATAAAGAGAGATAAATTACAAAAAGGAATGAACAGACATCTGGAGCTGAAAAGTACAATAACTGAAAAGAAGACCTCAACTAGAGGAGTTCAACAGCAGATCTGAACAGGCAGAATAGAAGATCAGAAAACTTGAAGATAATACATTTGAAATGATCAAGTCTGAGGTATAGAAGGAAAAAAAGAATAATGAAGAAAAATGTGCAAAGCCTGTGGGACTATCAAATATACAAAAATATGCATTATAAGAGTCCCAGAAGAAGAGAGAAAGGGGCAGAAAAAATGTTTGAAGAAATAATGACCAAAAACTTCCCAAGTTTGGGGCTGGCCCAGTGGTGTAATGGTTAAGTTCACGTGCTTTGCTTCATCAGCCCAGGGTCCACAGGTTCAGGTCCCAGGAGTGGACATATGCACTGCTCATCAAGCCATGTTGTGACTGTGTCCCACAGAGAAAACAGAGGAAGATGGGCACAGTTGTTAGCTCAGGGCTAATTTCCCTCAGCAAAAAGAGGAATATTGGCAATGGTTATTAGCTCAGGGGCCAATCTTCCTAACCAAAACAACAACAACAACACTTCCCAAATTTGAGTAAAGGCATGAATATACATGTACAAGAAACCCCATAAGCTACAAGCAGGATAAACTCAAGTAGACCCACACTAA